TCTGAAGGTAAATAAGGAGTCATTAGGAGGCGTAGAAAAGAATGAAAATTAAAATTTTTGAAATTTCTAATTAGTATTTGTTGCTAATTTAGCGATTTTGAGAAATGGCGGGAAAAAAAGTTTTTTGTCAATCTGAACCGTAGTTGGTAAAGATTTTCTAAAGGATTGGCCAACGGTGGACACACGTATGCACATAAAAATTCGTAATTTAAAATTTTTTCGGGCCAAGTTTACGGGAGTGCTGTAATGGCATGTTTTGATATATTTAGGGCTTCGAGAATTGCATTCATCTCAGCAGCGCATCTTTCCATCAGTGCAGAGTTCCGAAGTATTCGATTTGCGGCTTCACATATTCGCCAATCCCCGAGCAGCGAGCTACTGCTCGCCCAATCCCGAACAGCTGAAGTGTTCGGCGTATGTTCGCTCCTTTTTTGATGTGTCCTAACGACCGACACGCGGTGCGTAGAGCAAGCACAGAAAATTCGTCACTTGGCAAATAGCGAGCAACTCATCCACACTACTCGGGATTCGCCGAGCGGTTGCTCGCTACTCGCCATATAACGAATGCATGTAGCCGTCTCTTTGCCACTGCATCATTGGAAGTCGAGGCATCAGTGTATATGAATAAATGATTTTGAAAAGCTGCCCTCTTTTTGTGAAACTGGATCTGTTGCAGAAGGGGATAAGTAGTCTGGAGAGACCAGGGTCAATGTAGGAACAATGTTCTTTAGCACGAGTATTAAGAATGCATGAAGTGTGAGGAATTGTAGTTCTCATAAAAGGACAATTGAGAATGGTGGATGAGTCCAAAACATTTTTAACTTCTGCATTTTTTTAATGTCTAGAGGAAACTTAAAATCAGACCCTTACCATTTTCCTATTGACAAAGAAATTGCATAAAAAAATGTGGAGGCACTCTTCAGAATCTTTTTAAAATGTCATTGGAGCTTCATGTAGAGTACCCTCCAAAATTTGACAGCTGTTTCCAATTCAACAGGACACAACATCAGCCAGATGAATTTTGGGAATAACAATTTTGATGAAACTCACATGGTTTCAGACAGGTGGACATGTTATGCTGGAAACCAAGTATCGAGGACCCACAAAACGGATTCTGACAACACAACATATTAAGTCATTACTTTATATAAGTATTTAATTAATTTACTTTGTGTAGGAACAGGAAGTATCCATTTCTTTGGTATTGATTTGGGCTTGACAAGAAAGCTCCCTCCCCATCAAAAAAATATTTTTTTGTAACAATATTTTGTACATACAATGCAAGTAGTGTATGAAAAAAGTAAAAACATCCAGTTTCATCTAAGAGAATAGTAATTGAATTCCAATAAATACAATGAACTTTATTCTTTCTGAGACTAGGTTAGTGCTCAATATCAGTGGATATAAAGCTTCCAGAAAATCGGAATTAAGATGCCTTGATAACTCAACAAAAATAAAACAGATCAGCCTTAACAAATATAATTAAAATAAACATTCTTAAATAAATAAATTAATTAATTAAAAAAAATTTAAAAAGGATTTATTTCCCTGAAAATGAATTTTGGATCACCCTTACTCGAAAATACCTGGATATTGGTTCAGAAACTATTTTTGAGCTAGTTAACATAATTAGTCAAACTTGCAAACATATTTCAGATGTTTGATCCAATAAGCACAAATTGATGGAAAGTCATTTTGAGGAAAATTAAAAGAATTGAAATCAATAAGACCAACATATTTTACAGAATAACTTCATTATATGTTACATTTACATCACATACCAGTATAAACGACACACACATCACAAATGTACTGTATGCACTACAGAATTTTCCCTTCATTCACAGGGAGATGAATTGAAACACCTATTCTCATGGTTGAGGATATATCTATCTGCATACAATTTACAAGGAAATACTGTATTCTGTACAATACATGACATGAACAGGTTTTCTTTTAGGTCCATTTACCCTAATGCACATTTGTGTGTCAATAAATAATTCACACGACAATCTGTGATCATCGTAAGTGCACAATCACACTCTTCACATACTTGCACACGCAAATTCTTTGAGTATATTTTAAATGAGATTACCAACATGTTTACTACACAAGACAAAGACTGTTTTCAAAAATCATCCAGCACAAAAGGTATCAATTGTTTTTATAAAAATATTTAATTTAACCAATATATCAAATAAAATACTATGTCTGCTGTGTATAATATCAAATTCATACAGTATAAACAATGGTAAGAAGAGGCATATTAAAATAAAAGAGATACTTCCCATTTTTTCTCAATGGATAAGCTACTAAAAGTTACATAAAAATGCAACCTAATACACAGAACAAAACATGGCATTCAAAATAAAAATGCCCTTTTATATATATATAATCACATAATGGCATTAGTACATACATAATTTTTCGTTGACTACATTATTTTCATTGACACTTTACGCACCAACAGCTGTATGCTTGGCAAGTTGACGTCCAAAAGCACACTAGTGTAGGTCCAAAACTTGTGCTTTCCTCACGATTGTTTCATGTCAGTGACAATGTGGCAGTTGTGGCAACAGGAGACATAAGATCATTTACATTTACACACTAAACAACAGGTCTGCTTCAATCTCAGCACATATATACATATTCCTACAGAACTCTTTGCATCCAGGGCCACAAAGAACCCCGTCCTCCACCGAGCCCCTTGGAGGAAAACGGAGCCTTCGGGCAACTCAGGATAGCACTGGATTTCTTTCTGGCTGCCTCGGTTCTACCTCTGTCCTGGGCCAACCCTCTTGGTTTATTGCATTATATTCACATATTCCATCACATATCCATAGTAAACTCTTATGTACTCTTATCATCTCTATACACAATATAGATGCCGTTATTTCACAGTATAAAATGACAAACGACGGTTAACAGTATCATAGAATTAAATCTTTGAGACAATTTTACATTGCATTTATACGAGGTTTCAAAATGTAAGAAAAAGATGTAGGTGTTTTATTGTAACCATTTTTTTTCTTCTTTGGAAAAGCGAATCAGCCATCTCTTTACTTATGTAAGGCAACAATACATCTGATGGTACAACAGCAGATTAATATACTTCTTGGAAAAGGAAGGAGGTAGGAAGAGGAGAGGGACGAATGATACGTATGAGGAATAAGAATAAATTCAATCCTCACATTAAAAAAATATTTAAAAAAAAAAGAAATATTGCAGGCAGGTCAGGCAAGCTGCAAGTACTCTGAATAATTCTCTAGGCGGACCAGCCTCCAGCAGAACGCGCTAGGAGGGCCGGTGGCGACCTCCACACACACCACAGTTCACCCCGCACCAGTGACAAGCCTTCAATGGTGGATAGCACCACAAGCACGGTACCAAAAGAGATAGCAACGTTAGGCCTACCCAACGCCGGCCACAACTATCATCAACTGGTGTGCACTCACATGGATGCTGCACGTAGTCGCCTTCTGCATCTGCCATGCAATGGTACATCATACATTCAGCACACGAGATGCATGCTACCGTGTTGATCCCTGTGCGGACGCAATCTGGTGCATATTCACAGCTGCCTCGGGTATTGCTTTCCTCTGCATATAACTCCTGACAGTGACGACAGCGATTTCTGCAGGCTGGTTTATGCCGATCCTTCTTCTTGGTGGGTTTTCCAGGAAGTGGAGGTTGAGTTGGTATGAGTTCCAGGCTGCGCTTTTTGAGGCTTCCTGATGAGTCGCGACGACCTGGCTTCTGATCATCTACCACAGGATAAATGTAGTCGTGAAAACTATCCATAAGCTGCACATACGAGTAGTTTTCTTTTTCAGCGACTTCTTTCTTGCCATCAGGACTAGGATCTGGATCTGACCCTATCTTGTCACGGCGAGGGATGTAATGAATTCGATGAAGATGATGTGGTTCAGTTGGAGGAGTGGTGTGTTTGATGCTAGGCCCGCCTCCACCATGGGAAGAATCTGAGGAAGAACGTGAGTCTCCTCGATCCACTGGCAAGTTAAGTGTCTGCAAAAATAAATGCAATATCAAATAATAATATACTAGAACTAATATGATCACAGAAAACCTTAAAACAAATTATTTTAAGTAAATTATTTAAAGTCTTTTCTGAATTCAATAAAATATAATTTTTGATCTTTTAATTTAAATAAATTAAAATAAAAACTTAATTTGCTAAAAACTGTTGATTAAAACAATAATTATATACTTAAATCAATGTCAATTGCTACTGACACCTATTTTTGAGATTGAACATATTAGATACAATGGTATCACAAATGTACCACACAGGTATTCATGCTGAATAATGTTTAATTCAGCATATATCTGTAAGAACAAAATCTGAAAAATGCATCATGTAATCAAAACTGAAATCAATTCAGTAATTTATTGAAAGATCTACATGAAATGTTGAATAATTTCAAAAGTTTATTATTCTGAAATGGGCCCTGAAGGATATCCCAGGGTAGTGAAGGTGAAGTTTCACAATTTCCACACACCAAGTCTTCATGGAAGTGATGTGACAAAAATCACATCCTTCCTCTCAGACCAGCCAAGCAAAATTATTTTCAGTGTTCAAAACTTTACAACTTAAAAGCACAGAATATTTTTAAGGCTTTTTTTTAAAACTGAAGTAATGAAGTTATTCCAACTATTTCGCTCATAAAATTAAACCCAATTGGGTTTAACTCCCATACCAAATGATCCAAACAGTACAGCGTATCTCAAAACGTTTATTGCTTTTTCTATCCGAGTTTCTTTTACTGCTTCTCCCAACTGGCCAATCATAAACTGTGACTTATAAATCTTAGGAGATGGTATACATGTCCAGAAAACTGCATATGTAACATAACCTCTTTGATTTTAAAACAGCTTACATTTATATTCAATATCTGCCACACTTTGGATCTCTCTTGTACATAGAAGTCTTAGTAAGTACCACTTGTGCTTTGGAAATTCTCATATAAATCCCCTCCTCGCTTCGCAAGTCAAGGCTTTATCAACAATTTCCAAAGCATTCATCACCTATGATAAGGTAATACAAATAACCGGTATTATGCAATCACTGTTGGTTGTGTCAAAGAAATGGTAATTTAGAGTACTTAATAGAGGGAATCTTTTTTATTTATTTATATAATTATTTTAACTGTAACTATTACTACTACAAAATTTGGTCCATTATTAGTTTATTACACATCATATTTTTGCATTTTAAAATATTTTAATTACCTTTTCTTGGATAAAAATAGATATTTAAAGCAAATTGCTGACAGGAAAAATGAAGAAAGACCTATTTTATGAAAATTATGTTGAGGTATACATTTTCATTTTAGGCCATCCACCCTCTGATTAGCGGAAAATAAAAAAAAAAAAAAGAGTCCAGACACAAACAATGACGTTACAGCATTTTAAAAAATTTTAACTTGCTACATTCTGACATTTGACATATGCCCATGAAAACCCTGACTATCATCAGTTCAGAATGGATCAAATGAGTGGATCATAAAACATACAGACTTATTAAGGGAAAAGAAATACCTTGTGCTACAAAAAATACGGCATACAATTCGAAAGTTCCAATAAATTACTAAAATGTTAATTACTAACTGAAAGTTATTAAAAAAATAATTAAATATATTTCATAAGAATATAAGGAGTTTCATAGTAACACACTTCAGTGGCTCTCAAGGAGTACTGCTCCCAATCTGATGAAGAAAAGTAGTATGAGTTTGGGAATAATTGTCCTCAACAATCAATTTCATTTCGTAACAATCACATTTCCTAACTTACATTATGGTATCTGTTACCATCATGGAATTTATGATTCCTCTAACACGTGGTGTAGCCAGAATCCCCGTTTTGTGGGTCCTTGATACCTTCAGTCGATTGACGGCAAAACGTCTGTCTGTCTGTCTGTCTGTCTGTCTGTCCGTCCGTCCGTCCGTCAACAACGGTAGCAGCTCATTTTTCTCCGATCAGACAATTTTCTCCAAAATTGATATTCCCCAATCGATCTGGTTGATATCGCACTCTCTTGAATTTGAAATTGATATTTTAATTCTGGGGGTACTTTACATGAAGACACTGGAACATTTTCAAAAAAATGGCGCCATCAATTATGATTTAATTTTGATGTTGGATAGTCTGAACGATGTTTCAGAGAATGGTGCAGGTCTCATGTTAGTTGAAAACTCTAATGCATCCTTTAATTGTATTAAGTGTGAAAATGACTGGATGAACGGTCATGTTGATTGTTGTTACCCATTGTTGTAACGCCGCACATATAACAAGTCGATAATGACTGCTACTTTTTGTATTAAAAACGAACCTTTTCTATAGACAATATTATACGCTATGATATTGTAATATTAAGTACTATTATATATATTTTTTAACCTATTTGTTAGCCAATGCTATCAGTATCAAGTTATTTATTAACTTTTAATTATTTTACTTTCTCGCATTCATTATTATTCACACTAAACATTTGATTTGAAGGGTGTTATACAAAAAACAATTCGCACAGGAATTGTAGTGTAAATAATATTACATAACCATTACTAATGGCAAGAAAGTGCATGCTGCTTTAGCACCACTAGTTACGTTTCTTTTAATTCAAATTAATTACTTCCTATAACATCACTATACTGTAATAACTTTTAAGGATATGGAAATTAAATGTTAATAAATCAATTAAAAATTGAGTAAAAATATAAATAAACCTATGTTTATTACAATGTCTTTGTAAATTATCCACCATGGGAAGATCATTCTTTTAAAAAGGAAGAATGTCTGCCAACTTCAAATAAAGATATATACAAAAATGCATATCAAATTTGTTAAAACAGCTCACCATTACATAGAGGTTATTTGTCCTAGGAGCTCAAAATCTAGATTTCTTGCACTTATTTGCACAATTTATAAAAAATCATAGTGGGACTTGGGTAAGTCCTGGGTTTCTAATTCCTAATAGAACCCAAACACACACGTTACGCGACAAGTTGACAACACCGACTTTTAACATGAAATTGTATCTCAATCAGATGTTCGGTCACATCCTTTTCTGCTGACACATTACATAAAACTAATCTGAAAGGGAGTGAGCAGCCATATCACTGGCCATGGTTTATTGTTTCTCTAATTCCTGGTATTCCCGCTGCCCTCTGATTTTTGTAAGTGTGGGAGCTCGGGAACAGGAAAAGGGGTCAATGCTGTTAACATTGTCAATTTTCAATATAACTATTAAAAATTTGGTTTACGGTACTCTTACAATTCTCTTGAAGGAGTAAATTAAGAAAATTGTGAAAGGAGGAGATAGGGATCTCTTAACAGGAACATAACAATTTGCATACAATACACGTTTCAGCATCCTTTCTAAGCAAAATTTGATAATAAGAAGGGTTGTCTAAAAGAGGAGTTTCACTGTATTGATCTTTAATACCAGAATGACTGATACCATTGTCTTGACTGCAACACACTTTTCAAGTATTATTTTCTATCAAACAACGAGCAGTATGGCATTGCAATCTTGTAATTTTTAATGTATTTATGAAGCGGATAATATGTGAAATTTTCAAAAATTTTCATGGAATCTTCGTTGTTTCACTGGATACTTTACCCAAAGTGTCAAAGAGAGGTCAAATTTGTGGTTTGCCTAACTACTGAGCGGTGCTTGTCTTGGTTAGTCTTGTTGGTTGGTCTGTTATCTTATTGACTTCTGAGAAATAACAAATTTTGACTTTGATGAAAAACACTTCTTACAGGGTCTAACTTAGTTAAAGTGTTGAAGAAAGAGGAGGAGCAGGAGAAAGGAGAAAGAGGAGGGGGAGGAGGAGGAGGAGGAGGAGGAGGAGGAGGAGGAGGCAGGAGGGCGATGGGGAGGAGGAGAAAGAGGAGGGGAGGAGGAGGAGGAGGAGAAAGGAGGGGAGGAGAGGAGGAGGAGAAAGAGAGAGGGAGAGGAGGAGGAGGAGAAAGCAGGAGAGGAGGGGAGCGAGAGAGGAGAGAGGAGGAGAAAGAGGATGGAGGAGGAGGGAGAAGAGAGAGATTGAATAGAAGAGGCGAGGAGGAGCGAGAAAGAGGAGGAGGAGGAGGAGGAGGAGGAGAAAGAGGAGGAGGAGGAAGAAGAAATGTTACAATCCTGTAGTAAACATTGATCTAGCAGATGTAATTAAAAAAATAATTATGAAAAGAAGAAGGTATTTTGAAAATACTAACCATAAAGACATCATCATCACCAACATCTGGATTGTATTTTTGCAAAGGAGCCGTTTCCGTGAGGCCTGCAATTAGAAACAGATAATAAGTGAAAAACATTTCTCAACCTTTAACAACAAATATATTCATAACGAATGCACTGTCATAAAACAATATTTATAACAAAAAACATTGTATTCTTACGAAATTTGCTTGTTCTATCTTCAATGTTCTATATCATAATCAGTAAGAAGTTCATCCACTAACCTTTTTACTTTCTTCTATACATACATCTATACAGAGTAAAATTCGTAATATTGAGAAAGTTATGTAATGCTGTGGAAAATCAATTTCACGATCACAACAAAAATAGATGTTTTGGGATTCCCTGATAACAAAAAAAGTGTTTTTTTCAAAACAAAGTTTTTTTTTTGAGATTTCAACAGAAATACGTTTTGGGGTCTCCTGATACCGAATAAGGGTTTTTTCAAAACATCCATCTGGTGACTGAACACAACTAGCGCAAAAACTGTGGGTAGGATTTTTTTCCAAATTGAAGAAATCTGTGTCGATTTGACTCTAGTTAAATTTTTGAGATTTTGAAAAAAAATCTTTAAAATTTGAGGGTACATTACATGGAGCCTCCCAGACATTTTCAAAATTTTCTCAAAAATAGCTCCAAATTTTTTTAAAATTAAAAAAAAATTTTTTTTTGAAAGAACAGAGTAAATTACGAGTAAAGGTGGCATAAGTCTGATTTTCACTATTAACTCTAAATTTTTTGAAAATTGCAAAAGTTAGAGGTTTTTTTTCGTGTTTTTCTACAACTACAAAATTGATGGCAGACATTTTTCATTCCAATGAAATTTGTTCTCCATAATTGATTCTTTCAAGAAGGTTACATACATATTTTTGAAAATTTTAATAGTTTTTGCAAACTATTGCGAGCAATATAAGCAATATTAAAAAAAAATTACAAAAACAAGACTTTCACGAAAACTGTTTCAAATTTTTCCTTCAAACTTTTGGTAGGGATAGTGCTAAAAGTACTCTTTAAGATGACAAACACTAACACCATGTTGCTATATTCGTCTGTTTCTTTCAAAAACTACAAAAATGAATTTTTTTACTTCTCTCTCATGTCTGTATTATTACATTAGTGGCAATTTGTTCACATTATGGTATATATGAGTACATGTGCTTTAAAGAATGCCATATAAAGTTTCTCAAAACTCAACAATTTTCTGTGAAAATGAGCTCAAAATTCTGCATTTGCAGAAAATTTCGAACGCTATTCTCTCAAATATGACACCGATTTTTTTCTTCTAACTTTTCCCATGCATAGTGCTAATTGCACTGTCATTGCTATGACAAAGTTCATTTTGATGTAATCTTCTGTTTTTCAAAAATTACAGAAATGTAATAATTTTTGTATATCTGTTGTTTTTAAATATATGCTGTTACTGTGCACATTTCCAGCAATTTGTAAACACTATTTCACTTCATGAGTTAAAGTTTCGAACAACTTCTAATGACGTTTTTTGAAAACTCATAAGACTTGTGAAGACTTTTTGAAAACTCATAAAACTCAAAAGACCTTCAAATATCGCATGTTCTATAACATTAAAAACTATTTCTTTAAAAAGGGTTCAAAATTGTTAAAAATTGCAATTTAGGATGAAGGTTTTCTCTCCTTTAATATTGTGAAAGTTATACTTCGGTTCTACCATTAGGATACAGAAAAACTGTCAAAATTTCAAAAAAATGTAATTTGGGCAGTGATGGATGGCAGCTGGTAAGAGTATATGGCAAGATCGAAAAGCTAGACAAGAGCAAAGAAAATAGAAAACTAGTTAGTACAAGGAAGTCTCTGCCATTCTGTAGCACCACTAGTTATCTTTATGTTACTAGTTTTGTGTATAAACAAGTGTGTCTCAGACTTCTAAGAAAGAACTTTTTATTCTCTTTAAATACTCAACATACACATTCTTTAATCTTGTAGAAAGTATCACGAAACCCAAAATGTTGGCTCCTTGAATACTACAAAGACATTTTTTCTCATTTCCAGACATTCATAAGACATCCAGAAACACAGGACTAATCTGATTGGTACCACCACAAGGAATTATCACAGATAATATGGTGGGTACTTTGGAAATTGTCGATAAATTCCAGACTCGTGAAGCCAGGGGATTTATTTGAGATGTTTCAAGGCACGAGTGGTATTTAATAGGACTATTCCATGAATGAAATTATGTTCAACAGTTCCAAAATGCGCCAAATATTGAAAATAACTGAAAGCAAGTAACAATCAAAGAGGTTATATTATAGTACATACGCAATCGAGACAGATGAGTCGCAGCTTCCTATTGGTCAGTAGGGAGGAGCAGTAAGAAAAATTGGATAGAAAGAGCGACAAATATTTTGAAACACACAATCCTGATTGGCGCATTTTATATGTATAGTTAAACACTATTGGTTTTAATGTCACAAGTAATAGTCTGCATAAATTAGAGGTCTTCCAGATTGCAGAGTACTAAATAATAAATAGTACTAAAAGAATGGTTATCAGCAGAGTAGCAAGGAATAAATTATCAATTTGAACACGATGTTGGGTGCCATACAAAGTACTATAACAAAACAAAAACAGAAATGCCAGAAACAAGAGACAGCATCTCTTTATACCTCTATTGCCCACAATGCCAAGACACAAAACAACCTTGTACAAATAGACTAGACTGAGAAAACAGATGAAGTATGAATGATAGGGCTAGCAGAGCACTCTTATAAACCCAATTGCAACATTGATTCTGGTTATTTTAATATCTATTCAATCTATTAATAGCAATTTTTAAATTATAAAATACAGTTATCTCCAAACAACAATAGACAGCAAAGCTTCTGTCCTACAAATAGCCCTGAAATGTTAAAAAAATCATTATGAACTATAACCCTTAATATGTGCAGTAGGGGTTGGATCCGACCCGAGCACTTATTTTGACCCTCTCCTTCCTTGCACTACTCTTTATGGTGATCCAGGAACCCTATTTGCCAGCCTTCCGGAAGGTGTTGGTACTGTCGCATCGGTACAGGTGTGTGACCTTGACTTCCTACCCTCTGTTTTCCTATGAGGTTGCATCTGACCCGACCGTGCTATTAATGCCTTCACTTTTACTAAGCACTTTTTCTTTTTTCTCAATTAGTAGTCCAAAATGGCTACAAATAGACTACTTTCTAGTTCACAAGAAATTCTAGAGGGTTTGCATAGTCAACTGTCAGCATCAGGCAGTGAAGAAGACAGAAAATGTAATATTTTGTTTGAAAGAATGTATTATTTTCTTAAAAGTCAAGAATTGCCTACTCCACCATGTCATTTAATTTATGTTTCATATTAAAGAGGGAATGAACAAAAAGATGTTTTGTATCAAAGAATGATACAAAAAGGGGAAAAGCTCAGATCAGTAAGGAAAACCATACATATACAAGGAAAATAGAAACAACATAAATGCTTACTAACTACATGCTCTACATGAATTAATGAGGATAAAATGGAATTCCACAAAACGCTACTTGATGGGCCTACTAATGTGAAAGACAAATCTGAATGTTTCTTAATGGTTCCACATCTTTGTAAGGCGAGGAAACAGGAATAGACTGCTATAATCTTTAGCATACACTGAAATAATAGTTAACGAAAATATTTAAAGAAGAATAACTTCACTTTATAATTATTTTTCAAAAAATGCTAATTATGTATTTTAAAAATTAGCTCAAATATTGGTAATGAAAGATTGTCTTTTAACTTGCAACAGCACCTGCCAAAATAAATAACACATACACACACATTATAACAGAATTTAATTTAATATGTTTGAAATTATATTCATTCCAATTTCTCAAATTTAGCAAGACAGCAGAACTCACTCCCTTAATTTGTAATTTCACTCTACTTAAATAAAATATTAAAGCTACAATGATACTGACTGGTTAGCTCTCTGATTTCACCTGACAAAGTGCAAATTAAAAATAATTTTGCACCAAATAAAAACAGTGCAAAAAAATAATGTTTAATTTAAGAAATAATACCTAGTTTAAATCCCTCTCAAAATTTTCCTCGACTTTTAACGATTTTTTCTAGAAATTCCCTTATTTTCCCCAGTTCTCCATTTTTTCCAGAAAGTGACTGGCTTGGAGAAACAAGATAATTTTTTTAAAATAATTTTACTTAATTTGCAAACAAAACTGCAAAAATATCTTGAAAAGAAAATCATTAAAAAATTCCTTTGAAACAGAAAGAAACAAATTTTTATGCAAAATCAGCACGAGGTCTACTTAATATTTGCTTTGGGCCAAAAGGAGACTTCTTTACTTCGTACTCACCAGCAAAACATCCATCCAAGAGAGCGAGCAAGGGCAAAACAAGAAACGGGCATTACACATAACATGATAAAAGAATACATACTGAATGCCATCAGAAGGTGCCAAAACTAAAAACTGCATCTTGCAATAAACATGCAACTTTTACAAATGAAGTTAGAGTAAACACAACAGGTTGTGATTGCAACATACACATACATAGTATTACAACAGAAATAGCAAAAATCTGTGCGGGGAAATCTTTTAATAAAATAAAATGCAATGACAAACAGCAAAATACAAAATAAAAGTTATCTAGGTAGGGTGCAAAATTTATTTCAGAGATATTACTCAATTCAATTAGAAAAAAGTAGAAGTATCATCCAACAAAAGGAGGATTGTGTCATTGGTTGCCATTACCAAAGCTTTACAAACTTCTACAAATATTTCAATAAATATTTATAAATAAATAAAAAAAAATTAAAAATAACGAAATTGCAATGATTTGCTTGTAATATTTACAAGGAACAACAACAAATTTATCTACTTTTAGCTTTAATATGTAAGAATGTTTCTTGTAATTTCTGCAACCAGTATTTCTAACCCAAAGCAGTAGAAGACAGTGCTGAATTGCAAGTTTCTAACTGATTCATTGCTGTTACCATTGCAATCCTCTGATCTTCTACAGGAAGTTACAACATTAAAACAATAAATTCTTCATAATTCAAAC